ATTTTGTACTTTTGCGTATCATAAAATATATCTTACTTATGAACAGGAATTAATAGATACTATACACCTTTGTTTTGCCTGACATTTCGTCCAAGTTGCACTTGCCGAGTTCACTCTCTGCCCTTGACAAATAGGGTTAGAAAGATTGTTTGTAAAGGTAACTCCCGCATTAGGAATATATCCGGTGTCGCGGGGGACTTTACAAACACACATGAAACGGACACAAAGAACATCCAGACTCAGAACGACAATTTTTAGATCACACAAAGTACCGTTCCATGTGAGGATTGAACCCACAACACTCAAGCGTAGTAGGAAGCGGGGTGGCGACCGCTAAAACCACTACGCCATCCGTGCAGTTAACTTAACTACAGAAATAGATTTATTACAGACAAATACTTAATAAAATTTCCTACATAATAATATTTCGGACACCTAACACACAACGCGATCTAGTTTCAAACTAAGCAGAGTTTATACTATGAAAACTAGATTGACTGATAAAATACTTATATACTTTTTGTAAATACATACATATTTTACATAGAAAACACCCAAACCCTGAAACAAATATTTTTTTGTAAATACATACATATTTTACATAGAAAACACCCAAACCCTGAAATAAATATTTTTTTGTAAATACATACATATTTTACATAGCAAACAACCAAACGCCGAAACAAATATTTGATCATGCAAACACAGCAGTCGCATACGCTACCACTGCTCCACCGAGGCAGTCGAAAATATATTGAATACATGAAATCAAAGCTAAAATATCTTTAATATATGAACATTGTTTGAAATCTTCTCTTACCTTTAAAAAAATCGTCAAAGAGTCAGTTACCTGTCATTTTAATTTATTATTTACAAAACATATCCTATCTGCTGTATTCCTCTGCAAATGAATTATAGATTTTATGTATTTGTGTATGTATGTATGTGTTACAGATTACTTATGTATTAACTTGTATGCATATAAGTAGGTATTGCTAGGACTGACTGCTGTATATAATTAACACTACTTTGTTTTATAACTGTCAGAGGAATGCTGTTGTGCTGTATAGTTTTTTTTTGTTTCCTTTACACTTTTTTCACACCAAAACTGCCCATGAAATTACCTATTTACAGTCTATTTGTCCATCCAAAGGTTGCCTGTAAGAGATTGCTATTTAGCGAAAAGGCCGCCATTTGTACATGGTCATTAACTTGGAATACTATTGTATGTATAATATTCTGAATTGGTGTACAATAAAGATTATTCTATTGTATTCTCTATTCTACGTAATAGCTTAAGTAATAGATCAACACGCACAATAGCAACAATCTGTTCTGTCACATATTTAACAAAATAAATGACAAGAAAACCTGATGTGTAAAAAATTACATGCCTGCGCCGATCTACAACCGCTTGGAAAGGGGCAAAGGGGACAAACAGACGAAAGTAGAGTAAAAAGTTTTTAAATTTCAATCCAACGAACTTTACGTTAATAGACCGAAACGATACGGTCTCCAAACCTTCAAGAAAAGAGCGTACTCCTCAGAGGAAGGCTAGTCGCCTGTGACTCCTAAGTTGCAAGCGTTCATGGCCGGCCATAGTCACTTTCCATCAAGATAAAAAATCATCATCATCATCATAAAAAAGACAAATTCGTTTATTTTTAGGTTTTCAAATTTCTCGGAGGCAATGGATTGGACGAGCTGGCAGCTGCCCTTTTGACAGTTGTGTGAGCATTTACATATCATTCCTCAGTACTTCATAAACATGAACAACCTAGTAGTTCTCTGCTGGATATGCCTCTTTTAGATCCATAGGTCTCTCCTTAAAAAGGAGGTTTTGAACTACTATACCACGCTGGCCAGACGGGTTGGTTTTATTTCAAGTATTCCTTCTCTTTGCAGTGCTGTTGTCCTGCGTAGTTTGCTCCCTTAGTCAGCTCTAACGACAGTCAACACCCATGGGATGAATAGGGGTGGTGACACTCCATATTCTTAACCCGTCACCACACGGATTACGTTCTCAGCACCTATTTTGAACTACTTCGAAATAATAATGATGAAATGTAATAAATAAGTTCACGGAACCCATATTAAAAATCGCCGATCTAAGGATTTCCATTTTTTTTGTGACAGGATTTGAAAATCCCTTCGGTTTTCCGGACCAGGGGGACGCCATCGTGTTGCTGCAGGAGGCAGGAGTAAGTGGTGCTTACACTTAAACCACCCCGACGGCCGGCCTCAGACGTCCTACTCTTGGAAGGACAAGGATTTACCGTAACTTTCACAATATCTAACGCCTTCTATCGAAAACTATTAGTAACTACGCTGTCGTAACTTTTTGTTGTTTTTACTCATTTTTAACTGTAATTATAACATTAAATAAATGCTAAAAGCTATTTTGATGGATAAGATTTTGTTTTTTGTTTCTTTTTAAATTGTACCTATATTCATAATTGACCAGTAAAACTTGCTAATCCTATGACGGCGAATCCTTGATGGGTTTGTTGTTGGGCAATGATCCTGAATAGCAGTCAGAGGTCGTGGGTTCAATTCCCATTAAGGGCAAATAATTGAGTGATGAGCACGATCATTTGTTTTGGTTAGTCTGCTATAACCTTACAGTTTAAGTAGGTGAGGGTAACGCTCCGATCACGCTGTCCAATACGTGCGGAAGCATGCTCTCCCATAGTTATCGAATATGCTAAGAAACATACTAATATAGTAATTGAAACATACATAGGCACCATCACACAGCTTTGGTTTATAAAGAAGAACGGCCGATCTTGTACACCTAGTAATATATGATGGAATATTATAAGACTTGTACCGTTTATAAAGTGAATCATCTTAACTATTTTCATGTAATTATCATATTTTTAGAACTTTGCTAAAAGTGTGTAAATTCCATTCTATTGTTAGAACTGCAATAACCAAACGTTCAAGTGCTGTTAACAAAACGCATTCAAGACAAATTATATAAAAAAATACATAATTATTAATGAATGAGCTGAGTAATAGTTAACATTGCGTAAAAAAGGTAATTTAAATTATTCGGTAAAGGAACATTTTATTGACTGACTAATAAAATCGTAAACGAATGATTTTGATTTTAATAAGGTACCTAGGTTAACTTGTTGACTAGTGATGCGCAAAATGTATCACTGAGCTGAAAAGATTGAAATATATCATTTCTTTCAAAAGATATATATCACTCATCTAGCTCACTAGCTCATTTAGCTCACTAACTCGTTTAGCTCACTAGCTCATTGATCCGATTCAATTGATTGGTCTCACAATTAATTCATTTCTTCATCTAGATCGTTTAGCTCAGTATACTCGTATATCACTCACTTTAAGCCTCTCTCGCCATACAAACCTTTCTTTATTTTCATATTAACCTAAATTCAGTTTTTTAAACTACATTTTAAACCATTTTTTTTAAAATACAATTTTATTCATTTTGATAAGATTACATAATTATTAACATCCTTTTACATAATAATTAAAAATAAGAAATTATTTCTTGTACTTTTTTTTAGGTTGTATAATAGTAATCATACATAATTTGATTTTCCTTGTACTTGGCTTAATTCTTAAGTAATATTAAACTTTGATCCTATAGAAATAATGTACATTTTGCATAAAGAAACCTGCGTGAACTCAACCATCAGCTATCTCACTCATTTATCTGTAGTCTCACTCGCTCATGAAACAAAGATCGGCGTCGTTGAGCTAGTGATCTAGTGAGCTAGTAGTGAGTTACTGATATATTCGGAGCTAGTGTGAGTGAGTGATACATTTTATCGTCGTGAATGATATATATCTTTTATATCACTCACTCAGGAGCTACACAACTCTATTGTTGACAGCAATGACAACTCATTTTTGACAGCCAGCTGTAGCTGTCATTGGTATCGATTTCAGGACAGCCTGTTAACCAAAAGGAGGAGTTTTTTTAATGGAATAGGGGGCAAACGAGCAGACGGGTTACCTAATGGAAAGCGACTACCGCCGTCCATGTACGCCTGCAATTAAGGAGTCACAAGCGCGTTGCCAGCCTTTGAGAAAGGAGTACGCTCTTTTCTTGAAGGTTTGAAACTCGTATCGGTCAGGAAATACCGCTGACGATAACTTGTTCCACAGTTTGGTAGTGCGGGGCAAAAAGTGTCTTGAGAAGCGCACAGAGGTGGAGCACCAATTATCCAAGTGGTGGGGATGAAAATTTTGCCGTGTGGAACAATAGCGGAAGGTTGCAGCCGGTATTAGTCCGAACAATTCCTCGGAGTACTCTCCATGATATACACGATAGAGAATACAGAGAAGCTACATCTCTACGTAACATTGCAAAAGAGTGGCCATGAATTTGTTTGCGCTTTCTTCTCATGAGGCTCAACCCCTTGGAAACGGGCGGTTGTAGATCGGCACAGGCATATCATAGATTTTGTAAAATTTATTTGGTTACTATTTGACAAAACAGAGATTGTTGCTTTTGTGTGTGTTGATCTATGACTTTAGGGTCTACATGGAAGACGATTTCAAACAGTTTTGGAAATTTTATGAAATAAAGAAAGTTTGAGTTTAACGCCAAGGGATCGAGCCGGTCGCAAATCTTTTGGCTATCGACGATTTGAGTCGCTCTTCTTTGGATTCGATCCAGAGGGAGAAACAAAAACTATGTACAAACTACTAACTGAAATAAATTTTGCACGCAGTTCTAAAAATCTGTTAATCAAAACTGTAATTGTTGATGATATTACCAGCCAAATAATTACAACAATAATCCCTACCATGAGATACGCAAGGCGATACAAAAATCCCATAAATGCCTACCACTTTCCTTTTAGCATAAAACACAAATAAAAAAGTTGTTTCTCTATGCTGTTACATCACGAACAAAATTTTAATTGTTGTAACTTATCTCAGTTAAATTCAACAAAAAATCAATATTTATCTTAGTAAATTTTTATTTTCATATAAACACTATATAATTTGTCTGTTCATCTCGTCACATGGTTCCCAACTTCGCAAGTGAACAATTCTTTGCCTGTAACAAATAAAAAAAAAAGATTAAGACAACATAAACATCTCAGACACAGCCGTCTGATCCCAAACTAGCCGGAGCCTGTACTATGGTAACCAGACTACTGTTAAACATACCTATATATTTCTAAATACATACATAGTACATACTCTAAATGCATACATACATAGATATTATAAATAAATATTACACAGCAGCAAAGGAAGTGAACGTTATTTATCCTGGGTGGGGATCGAACCTACGACCTCTTAGCTTAGCAGTCAGAACCGCTTACCACCAAACTAGACCAACAGACCCGTCTATCATAATAATACTTAAATGTATTAAACTATATTCTGTATATATCTATAGAGGAATTCAAATGGTAATGATTGGTCGCAAATCGAATCGAAAATACACAAACGGCTAAGACAAAAATAAAATATAAAACGAATAGTAAACCTGTTCCTTTGTGAAAATTGTTACAAGGATACTGTTTCAATAACTGCGGTTGCAAAAATATCATTTAAATAATTTTGTACTAAATAGTACATTCGCGTTACGAGAATAGTGACGCAACGATCAAGCCCCGCCCCTTAACCAATCATGTTTAGTACCAAAGCTTGGAAGCTAATTGGTCAGGGTGCAATCTTGATTAATGTACCACTATTTTCTTAACTCGAATGGACTGGACACAAGAAAGATAGATTTATTTTAAATATCATTAGTTCCGTGGATATTTCACCTTGGTGAGTGGTGACATGTTGCCTTAACCTCTTGATGCTGTTGAACTGTTCGCGGCACACGCGGCACTTGTAGTGATAGTCTACGATCTGAAAATGACATTTACAACATAATTACTGGTTAAACAATGGGTTTATTTTTTTTAAAGACAACTCCTTTACTGGGAACATATCCTGTGCCGCGGGGGACTATACAATCATACATGAAACGGACACGAGGAACACCCAGAATCAGAACAATAATATGTGGATCACACAGTGTTGTCCCATGTGGGGATCGAACCCATTACACTCAGTGTAATAGGAAGCGGCGAGGTGACCGCAAGAAACCACTACGCCATCCAGATTAAGAATACGAGCACTGCAAAGAGAAGGAAAACTTAACACAAACCCTTTTTTTTTTTTTTTTTTTTTTTTTTTTTTTTTTAACGTGTGGAAATCCCCTCGGACCGTCACCCCACCGGGGTTTGCGGCGGGGTGGTGTGTCGGACTCGAACCGACTAAAACCACACGGTGTGCCCTCTTTGCGCTTCCAGTTTAGGAGGGGTCCAGGTAGTTATCGCCTTCTGGACCCCTCCCAGCGCCGGCCCGCTCCTGGTGCGGGCTCCGTCTTCAATTATCCTCTCTTTAGGCGACGTCCGGCACACGCGGACGCCGCCCCCTCGCGGCTGGCCAACTAATGCGGGTGGAGGGGAAACCCACCCCGTCCACCCGCGGCCACACTCAGGGCGGCATGAGGCGCAGGTAAGCGCGCCTCCGCCGCCCGGTTCGCCGGCGGCGGATCAGGTCCGAGTGGAGGTCGTCCTCCCGGGCCTTCTCCGCCGCCTCCTTCTGCGAGATTACCTCCTCGCAGAAGGTTGCGACCGCGGTAAAACAACTGTCGCTACCGGCCATGGAGCGAATTACGGCCGGTAGCGAGAGATCTGCTCCGATGACTGCAGTGAGGGCCCGGCGCTGCGTCGCCCATGCGGGGCAGACCGCCAGCGTGTGCTGGGCCGAGTCCTCACTGCAGTCGCAGTGGTGGCAGGCGGGACTCAGTTCCCTCCTAGCGACCGAGTGCAGGTACTTTCCGAAGCAACCGTGCCCGGAAAGCACCTGCGTCAGCCGGAAGGAAAGGGCCCCGTGCTGCCGCCCTGCCCACTCGGCGATGACCGGCTGGAGAGCCTCCACGGCGGCGAAGCCAGCGCGTGGAGTCTCCAGCCGGAACGACCATCTAACCATGGTGGCTCGGCGAGCGGCTTTGCGCCACTCGCGCACGTCTTCGGGCGGAGGGCGAAATCCGCTCTCCGCCCGGAAGTCAGCCACTCGCCGATAAACTTCGGCGAGCACTTCCGCCTCCAAATCCCACGGGGGTGTTCCGGCCAAGGCGCAAGCCGCCTCGGTGGACACCGTGCGGTATCCGCGTATGGCTCTGACCGCCAATATCCTCTGGGGGCGCCAGAGGCGCGCCCTATTCTTGGCGGTCAGAGCCGCCACCCACACCGGTGCACCATAAAGCGCCATGGACCGGACAACCCCCGCGTACAGCCGCCTCGTGGAAACACTGGCCCCGCCCAAATTGGGCAAAAGTCGCCCTAGGGCGGAGGCAGTGTCCACCAGCTTCGGACCAAGCTGTCGGAAGTGCTCGTCGAAGAGCCACCTACCGTCTAGGACCAGACCCAGGTACCTCATCTGGGCCCGGACCGGTACGAGGACCGAGCCGACCTCGATTGAGGCGCCGGCGGGCGGACCACGACGGGGCCCATGAAATAATAGGGCCTCCGTCTTATCCAGGGCCACCCGTAATCCCAACGCCTCAATGCGCCCGACCACCTGGGAAACTCCCGTGGCGGCCAGGCGCGCCGCCTCCTGGAAGTTAGCCCCCCGGGCCGTGACTAAAGTGTCATCTGCGTAGCAGAGTACACCCAGCCCGGGGGGGAGACGCCCTCGTAGGGCCCAGTCGTATCCAATGTTCCACAGGAGTGGTCCTAGGACAGACCCCTGCGGAACACCGCACGACATGGCCCTGCGTCTCAAGACGCCATCTCGGTCCTCGTACATGACGGTTCGCTCCTCAAGGTAGTCTGCCACCAGCCGCCTCAGGTACTCCGGCACTCCGTGGTAGCGGAGCGCTTCCCTGATGCAGCTGAATGGCAGACTATTGAAGGCGTTGGCGATGTCCAAGGACACCGCCAACACCACTCCGCCGCAGCTCACGGCCTCCTCGGTCACGGCCCTAAGGCGCATTACGGCATCGATCGTCGAACGCCCCGCTCGGAAACCGAATTGGGCGTCCGACAGATCGGGGCCAACCTCGCAAAGGTGCCGGACGATGCGGGCAGAAAGCACCCTCTCAAAAAGTTTACCCGCCTCGTCCAGCAACACGATAGGCCTATAGGCCGCGACCGATTCGGCAGGCCGTCCCGGCTTCTGCAGCAGGACCAGCTTCCCGCATTTCCAGCGCTCAGGGAAGCGTCCGGACGCCAGGCTAGCGTCCAACACCCCCCTGAGGTGGTCCGACATGTAGTCGAGGGCTCGGGCCATCACTCGGGCTGGAACCCCGTCCGGCCCGGGGGCAGTGTTCTTGGATCTAATCCGTAGAACAGCCGCCCCCCAACTCCGATTCCCTGACGGGCGGAACATCAGCCTCGCTGCCCCCGTCGTCTCCGGCTGATGCAGCCATCGACGGGGGTGTGTGCTCCGCCCGCTGCGGGAATAGGCCCTCGACCACTTCCTGCAGGAAGCTGGGCTGGAGAGTCTCCGTAAGGGGGGGGCCCGACGTGCGGAGCTTTTGACGCACCGCACGATAAGGGCGACCCCAGGGGTCACGCTCGAGACTCTCCAGCATCTCCTCTCTACTGACATCCTTGGCGCGGCAGATGGCCAGCCTCAGAGTTTTCCGAGCTTCTCGGTACTCCTCATGAAACCGGTCCATCTCCTCACCGACCCCGCGGTGACGTCGCCGACTACGGGTGAGGGACCTCCGGGCACGTACACAGGCCGCACGGAGGTCCGCCAACTCCTGGGACCACCAGTAGACCTCCTTCCTTGGAGGCCGACAACCACGAACGCGGGGCATGGCCGCATCGCAAATCTGCGTAATCGCATCGCAGAAGCGACCAGCCCCCATGTCGACCTCCTCGGTCGGGGCCTGCGGAGACAGCCAAGAGTGAATAATGGCCGCCTCCTCTAGTAGGTCCCTGTCGAGCTTGGCGATAGCCCACCGCGGAAAGCGGGAAGGGCGCCGCGCCGCGTGACCCCTACTGGGGTCCTGGGACCGGGAGAGCTCGAATCGGATGTACAAATGATCCGAGAGCGTCTCGACCTCTTCCAGGACACACCAGTTCCTTACTCGTGCGGCGACTGCAGGGGTAGCGAACGAAAGGTCCACTATCGACCCCCCCTGCTGTCGCACGCACGTGTTGGTGGAGCCTCTGTTCAGCAAACAGAGGCCCACCGACGCCGCCCACTCCTCAACGGCTTCGCCCCTGGCGTCCGTCGCAGGGGAACCCCACGCAATGGACTTTGCGTTGAAGTCCCCCAGCACGAGGACGTGCCCAGACACTAGTCGCCGCAACTTAACACAAACCCTATACCAACCCTAACCCAACGCCAGCGTGGTGTAGTAGGAAAAAACCTCCTTTTTAAGGAGAGGCCTGTCCGGCAGTGGACTAACAAGGCTGATGATAATGATGGTGTATTTTTTATGGAATAATGTATGTCCTGTATTTAACCATGGGAGAGTCAGGCTTAAGCTCATATGAATAAGCAACATAACCTTACAGAAAACCACATGAGCTTTTAAACCGAGGGAGTGAGGTTACCGGAGCCCGAAACCCTCTGACTCCGGGGGGGGGGGGGGGGGGGGCTAAAAAATTTTTTTTTTATTAAAAAGTAAAATGAACGACAGTGTCAGACGGAGCCTCAGTGTGATACCTGACACCTGACACTATAGTCCATTCGCGTTAAGAAGATAGTGACGCATCGATCAAACCCCGCCCTCTGACCAATCAGGTTCCAAGAAATTATCGTTTCGTACAAAAGCTTGGAATCTGATTGGTCAGGGGGCGGAGCTTGCTCGATACGTCACCATTTACTTCCCACTACCAGTCACGAAAGTTTTTATTTTAAAAGAATCATACCTCGGCCAGTATATTAGAGATGACAAATTTGTACTTCCTCATCTCTTCGGAGGAGTGAGTCTTGAAGTGCGCCAAAAGGTTGTACGTCGTGACGAAGGAAGCGCGCGAACAGATCGGACACGCGATGGTCTCTGTGAGAACAAATGTATCACTGGTCAAATGAAATCAACTCGAGTAGTCATCACTCGTTGATACATCGTTACTAGCGATTGGTGAAGAGTTCAGAACGTTGTCGGCATGACGATTGAGTTGATGTCAAATAAACTAACATTAGGCCTGCAGATATGCGAGGACTCGCTGACGCCTATGTATCAACGAGTGATGAATACTTGGTGTCGTATTCGCCAAGTTATGAGCATGCATACACACACAAACTTGCCGACAATAGCCTCTCATCCCCACTAGTTGTAATAGCAATAGCAAATAGCATTATTCGCCGCAGTCGCTGTGGCTGTGGTCTTCAGGTAGACTCCTAGACAACGCCATCTAGTTTCAAACTAAACAGAGCTTGTACTATCAAAGCTAGATTGACTGATAGAATAGTTTTTTTTTTGTAAATACATACATTTTATTTACAAAAAAAAACAGCCAGACTCTGAAACAAATATTTGCAGATCATACTAACATTTGATTCGACCTGGAATCAGGGTCCGATCCGAGATCGCACAGCAGTCACGTACGCTACCACTGCACCACCGAAGCAGTTATATATACAGGGATAAGATCATTTTATATGATAGTTAATTATATTGCAACAAATATCTTTTTACTTTAAATGTAAAAGTTTGAATTTTGATAATTTACAATTGTGCCAGACAGTCTGAAAAAATCTTGATAAAATTTGGCACTGCAATAGCATTTTACAAAGAAATCTGTGGCTCATAAGCAATTTTATTGCATCAAAAAGGAATTAATTCATCGACATTCAAGTGAAGACGTGTGTCAAAGCTAGTGTTTAACAATGCTCAGTACTAATTTTTTAGGAAGGCCTCATCAGCTGAAGATGGTGGATATTAGTATAAACAATTTGAATATTGCTGGGTTAGAAAACTTTAGAAGCCCTGATCAGGTCATACCACAAAGGAAAACAGTTCTGATAGTATAAAACCACTTACTCTTATCACTCTTTTTGACTCCTCTCCAAGATGACTGGAAGCAATGTACACACATCTTGCAACAGAGCAGCTCCTTCATATACATTTTCACTTCATCGTCATCTTTTTCTTCCATTTCTTCTTTTGAATCACCTCTGTAAACATATAGGAACTATAAATATGTACATTTTATGAAATGATTAAGAATACGGAGTGTCACAACCCCTATTCATCCCGTGGGTGTCATAAGAGCCGATTAAGGGAACAAACTACGCAGGATAACAGCACTGCAAAAAGAAGGTAAACTTAGTATACCAGTAGTGGTAGGTACACCAGATTCACTTTCCATCTCTTGAGTTCATTATGATGATAAGTGATTACCGCTGCCCATGGAACACTTGCCACTCAAAAGAAACAAGACCATCATCCCCCTTTAAGAGCCTTCCTCACCTAGGACGACTGTCATAATAAGAATCTATCACAACACGATAGACAGCTACACTATAAAATGGTTAAAAAAAAATCGGTTGTCTGTAAAGTCGGTTTACTGACGATAGTTGAACGTGACAACGTTATAAGAAAATACTGATGGAATGGTTGCATTTTTCAAAAATGTATTATTGTATACGAGTAGTAGCTGTCGTCCACGCGGACGCATCGCTCACTCAAGTAGGAGAGAGACAGATGTCGAACGCTACCGAACGCGGAGGCCGATTGTGCCTCTTTGTTACTCGTTCCGCGCTCTCGCTTGCACTTCACGCCTTAAATGGAACGCCTCAGAGCGAGGTAACGCCGCATGAGTCATGTTTTTTCGTGCGTGCAGCCGGCTCCATCGAATTACAAGACGTTGTCACGTCAAAAATAAATAAAACAATTACTTGTCATTTGCCATAACCAGCTTATAAACAGCAGAAAGAGTATCCTTCGGTTTATAAACTACGAGAACTTCTCCGTCCTTATTGTCTTCCTTACTCAATATCACCTCATCTGATATGTGATAGGGTTTCAGTTTCCTATTCAGTAGTCCAAAGGTTGTTAGGACCTTCTTCTCTTTGTACCGTGGCAACACGCATTGAAATATTTCTGATTTTCGATCACCGTCTTCGTTTTCTACACATGTTTTGCTCCAGATTGTTGTTTCAGATTTACCTGAAAATTTAGTACAACTGAGTTAGATATAGAAAAAGTTCAAAGTCACTCAACGTGCTATGGAAAGGGCTATGCTCGGAGTTTCTCTAAGGGATAGCATCAGGAATGAGATGATCCGGCAGAGAACCAAAGTCACCGACATAGCCTACCGGATCAGCAAGCTGAGGTGGCAGTGGGTTGGCCATATTAGCCGCAGAACCGGCAACCGTTGGAGAAAACGAGTTCTTGAGTGGAGACCGCGTCTCGGCAAACATAGTGTTGGACGCCCACAGGCCAGATGAAGTGCTGATTTGCGCAAGATGGCTGGCAGGAGTTGGATGCGAGAAACCCAAAATCTACCTAAGTGACGTGCAATGGGAGAGGCCTATGTCCAGCAGTGGACTGCAATATGCTGATGATGATGATGAGTTAGATATTGGGATATACTGCTATTGCCATTGGGTTCTCATATACATGATAATGGTTCACTGTGGAGATCTGTCTATTATATTATAATTTGTTGCATTAAATATTTGTTCTAATAAATAATTACCCCTGGGGTAGGTACATTAGATCATAAGGAAAATGAGGCAATAGAAAATGACCTCAAATAGATTTTAAATTAAAATGAAAATGTAACCTCTATATTTTGAAAAAATTTATCATTTTGAGACTCTGTGGACTGGTATCTATACAAATAAATAAAATTGGAGTGTCTGTTTGTAATATTAAAATAACTGCTTTTTACTAAATGCATATGTGTGTTTTCACGGTACATATGCCAAAATAACATTTTTTACAATTTTTGTCTGTCTGTCTGTCTGTTTGTTCCGGGTAATCTCTGGAACGGCTGGACCAATTTCGACGGGACTTTCACTGGCAGATAGCTGATGACATAAGGAGTAACTTAGGCTACTTTTTTTAGACTAGCTTCGCGCGGCGCGGCGTTGCCCGCGGTTATAACAACAAACGCGGGTAACACCGCGGGTCTCAGCTAGTGCTAAAATAAGTATATAGTGTAAATAAGCTCAAATAAGTCTAGAAACTGATAACTACATAATAATTATATGGAATAATTGAGTCACTGTTAAGGGATTTCATGTACAACAGGTGAACAGAGTGTAGGTTCCGACACTAAAATAAAATTGCTATATTTATAACAGATGCTAGATTACCATTACTTGTTTCACATGCAAGTGTAGAAGTAAGTTCTAGGTGAGGTTGGAACAGGTTGACAGAGAGTGGGGACCTCTGTTGGCAGATTAATTGCTGCGGTAGGCGATCGGGCCACAACACACATTAATAATAAGGCCGATAGGCGTAGGGAAGCTTGCTTTCCCTGGGATAGGGCTTGGCTAGGCGCGGCGTCGATCCGGGGGGGGCCTGAATAACATGGTCCGGGTCTTCCCCAGAGCAGGGCGCCTGAGACCGGCTGTCGGGGTGGTTTTTAGTGTCAACACCACATACCCTAGCTCCTGGGTCTCCGAGGAGCCAGAGATCCGAAGGGATTTTCAACCCCATCAACAAAACAAAAAGGTGTGGTTGGAACAGACAAGCTTTAGTTTCAAATTACATTTTATATTCATTTTCAAAATCCTTTTTAAACTTTAATAACATACCTGTTTGTTTATTGACTACATTTCTAAACACTACAGTTCTAGAAGAACTATTTGTTTCCCCTCTCTCAGGCTTCAACAAATTATCACAATGTTTGAAATGCTCCAAACATACATTATTCCAATTATTCAACCTCTTGATGTCACTCTCCTCGTGTTTAATAGCTTTTACAGGCAAACATAATGGGTCATCATAGTCTGGTATATTGATATTACATTTTTTACGGTCTAATAATATCTCTTTAGGTTTGGCGGGAACATGTTTTAATACTTTCGTTCCAACTTTTAAATTTGGATTTGATTGAACTCTCGATACGACTTTATGGAAAGTTTTTACTTTTTTATTTATGACTTGGGGTTTTTTTTTCTTGCCTTTTTGACTACGAGGACTTGAAGGGCTGAAGTCCTGATTAGGATCGTAATCTGAATCGTCTTCTGCATATTTCTTTTTTTTACGTTTCCTTTCAGCCCGTGCTGCCGGACGCTCACGCTCCACTAGGAAAGGAATTGGTTTTTCTTCGACCGGCGGCGCAAACTGTACTGACTGAACACATTGTTGAACAATATCAGCGTCTTCATCTAAAAATTCAATGTCATTGTCGGATTCTGCCATAATTCTTGTACACAATCATAAATTGTTTATTTGGAACACCGAGCGCGAATAGCCGAATAGCATCAAATGACAATTATGACAATTTGACAATGTTGCCATTTTTGAATACGTTTACCAATTAAACTTTAAAACTTTTAATGGGATGGTTGTTGTTATGTATATATTTTTTATATCATTTATAAGAACGCAACGATAGAGGCATCCACTCTAGCTACTGGAATCAGGAGTATCATAACTAGATATACATACCCTCACGTCTTTGTCCCTGAAAAGTAGTGAAGAGGGAGATTTGCTTACCTAATAGATTGCAAACCCATTTCCGTCATTTACTAGGCATTTGGTATTTCCGGGTCCTCCCAGAGTAGGCCTGCCGTCGTGGTGGTTTTAGGTGGTACTCCTGGCTCTTGAGTCTCCGAGGGGCAGGAGATCCGAAGGGATTTGCCACCCGTCAACCAAACAAAAAATAGGCTTTTGGTATTGCAAAAAAAATAGTAGTTGTTTAACACAAAACTGAAATATAGATTAGGTATAATAAAAATAAAGGCCGCTAAAAATTCTCACCTCAACTTTATTAAAGGCGGGTACCTACTGCTGGTCAACTCTCTTTAGTAATCTTAAATCAGAATCAGAGATATAAGTTGGTGAATGTGATAGGAAGTGTTTGTTTACAAACTGTCATTTCAAGTAATATACAAAAAAAATCGGCTATTTAGTATAGTATTACAAATCTAATCTGATTTAAAACTTAGACAGGAAGATATTTATTGAAAAAGGTACAAATTTTTAGGGTACTGTAGTGGGACTAGGAACCTTTATATTATAGTCTCGCCATGTTCGTCTGTCCGTTCGCGGTTTAGTTTAGAGATTGGCAGAAGGGACTAAAGAGCTGTATTTTGCATAAACTTACCTATGTTAACCGCTTAGAGGGTAAAATCAAACTTTGAAAACATAAATTTAACTAATTTCCCGCACACATAAAGTCAGAATGATTCTTTTCATTCTAGGTTTCAGTCTAGATTGTCAATCTTTTTCCAAAGTATTGGGGGCTTTGAATATTATTTTTCTATTCGTGATACGTTTCGATGGTCTCTAGGTAAAGAATCAAAAGTGAAAAATGATACTTTTCAGGAGAGCGATTAAAAGTTTATCAAGAAAATTTAGTTATGATTTTATACTACTACATTTTATGCACTTTCGATTATTTACAGGAAACCTTCCATACAAAACTGAATCGGAACTGCCTATTTCGATATTCTACTTTGGTTTATGTCAGGAATATTTTACCGAAAGTGTCACATTCGATTATTTACTTCGTAGATTCCTCGTACTTACAATATTACTATTAATAGAATAACAAGAACACAATTTAAATAAAACATCTTTATTAAAGTAAGGTTTTTTTTGGAGGTGGTAAGGTGTTTTACAAACTGCGAATAATATAATTTTTTAATCTAATTATTTCCATAGTTATTTAAAACTCAGTCTTTGTTGCCGTCATCTCAGCTTTTTATGTCGTCGTATTGAATAATAATGTATTTTCTAAGTTAATAAAATCGAAACCATGAGTACTTAATAATCTACAATAATAGGAGCATTTGGAATGAGATCCCAATTAAACACAATAATTACTTATACAAAACATAAATAGTAAAACTTCTTTAGCAATAGTAGTTCTGAAATAAATGTGACAAAAGTATTAATAATGAAAATAAAAACCTCTAATAAAATAATATTAATCTATATCCCTTTCACTAAATAAATGCTACTAAATAAACTGTACCAGTTAAAAATATGATAGGTTCTTTTTAAATCTAATAACCAGGTAGGTATCTTTTTTAGTTACATTGATACAAAAAAAATACTAATCAACATAATCGTAACATTTGTAAAAAAACAAATATTTTTTACAAGTACCTGCAACTTGTAAAAAATATTTGGTGGTAAATTATCTACTAGATGGTCCGGCTGTAGTGACACATTTATTGTTATTTGCCGTGAACTTATTAACAAACTCAAACTGCCTGATATGATCCTCATGTGCCCAAAAATTGAGAAAAATATTTTGGCGAGTGTCTGTATCAAATTTCTCAGGACATTTTATTTTTGTGCGGTCCATGGCCCTTTACGGGTGCCCAGTATGGGCGGGGGCCTTAAGGCCAGCAACGTCGCTGTGGGGGATCAGTGCAAGTAAAACCCAATAAACGATGATATCGAAACACATTTGATATGGATATTTTATTTTAACACCTATGACATGTACAATTTAATAGTCAGTTGTTTTTACTTTATGACACATATAATATAGCTTGTAGACAGGCATAGATAGTGGCTACGGAGGTGTGCAACTCCTTACGTTATCACACTCCTCTTGACAGCTCACGGAGCCAACCCTAGACTGCTTCGTAGTTTTTTAAGTCTCGGACCAGCCAGGGGTTTGGTTAGCATGCCTGCCTCCATCTTCTCCGTTGGAAGATATCTAACCTTTATTTTTTCTTCTTGAATACAATTTCTAATGAAATGCATTTTTAGGTCAATATGTTTGGATTTAGATGTCACCATATTATTCTGACTAAGTTTTAGGGCAGCTTGATTGTCATTCAATATGACTATGCTCTTATAACTGATCCCTACGCCTTTTAAAATACCTTTTAGGTTTATGGCTTCTTTTGCAGCTTCAGTCAGTGCAACGTATTCCGCCTCTGCGGTCGACAGGGCCGAAATTTTAGACATCCAGCTTATGGCCGTTCCTCCAAATTTAAAGCAATATCCCGAAAAGGATTTTCGATCAATCTTATTTGATCCCCAATCTGCATCTGCCATGCCGTATAATTCTTTTCCAGTTTTGTGGAACACCAGACCAACATTCTGTGTACCTTTTAAGTAACGTAGTACTCTTTTCAGACATTTAAAATGTTCTTCATCACAGTAATCGTTGAACTGCGAAAGGTAGCTTATAGCAAACATTATGTCTGGTCGAGTTGCGACCGCTATATACATAAGAGTGCCAATTAAATTTTTGTACGGGAGGCTCTTTGTTTGATTTATTTCTTTTTTCTGTAAAGTAATGCCTAGTTCTATCGGTGTAGATACTGGCTTACAGTCCTCCATTCCATACATCTTGAGGGTATCTAATATTATACGTTCTTGGTACAATTTAATTGTATCTTGGCCGTAAGTAACATCAATGCCCAGTAATCGCTTCGGCTCGCCTCAATCTTTTAATTCGAACTTAGAGTTTAGCTGGGTCTTTATTTTTTGAAGTTCTGTAGGGCTAGAGTAGGCAATCAAAAAATCGTCAACGTAGATGGCTATAATTATTTTGGCTCCTCTTATCTCTAGCCTATATAGACATGGATCTGCCTCTGAGGGAATGAAACCAATATTTTTTAATTCTACGTCAAGTTTCTTATGCCACTGCCTCCCAGACTGCTTTAGTCCATACAGAGATTTTATTAAAAGACATACTTTGTCTTTGGGAGTACGTTTTATATCCCTTAACATCTCTTTTGTTTTATTGTAAACAGTCAGGTCATCATTTCTGCTTTCTTCGACTAATATTTCAGTCAAATACTCTTCTAAACATTCAGGATATTTCATAGCTATGTGCTCTTCCAATTGACCATTCAAGTACGCTGTTGTTAGGTCTATTTTGGTTTAATTTTAGATTTTCTTCCATAGCTATTCCAATGACAGATCTGATTGAGCTTAACTTAGCGACCGGAGCATAAGTTTCATGATAATCGATGCCTGGCCGTTGGCAGAAACCTCGTGATACGAGTCTCGCCTTTTTCTTTATATTATTGTCTGTTCCTACTTTATTACGTAATACCATTTTATAATCTATTTCCTTCATTTTTTTATCTTTCTTTTCTATTTTCCAAGTACCGTTTTTCACGTGTGCTTTAATTTCATCTTTTATTGCATCGTGCCAGTAGTCATCATATTCATCTCCATCAGACAAGAGAGATATTTCAGATAATAAACTTTCTTCAGTATTATTTACAACAAAATCCTTTGTCCACGCTGGGGAATGCCTGTTTCTTTGTGGCCTCCCATGAACAGGTGGTTCTTCATTTTCTGAGGCATCATTGAAAGAATCTTCTGAAGATTCATAGCTTTCAATGCTAATAGGGTTTTGTAAGTTCATTTTTATTTTCTATGAATTCAATTTCTACTGGTTCATTATTTTTATTGTACTTATTTTTAGTTTTATTTACATTTTCAAGTAATGATGAACGTTGTTGATGTTCCTCTTCGTTTATGAGATTCTCATAGTTTTGAGTATTTTTTTCATAATACATTTTATCTAAAACTTTTATATCCCTACTGATAACTATATCATCATCTTCAGGTATGTATACTCTGTAGGCTTTTGAGGTCATTGAGTATCCCACAAATACGCCTTCTTTGGTATTTTGACTTAATTTGCCTCGTTTATTCTTTTTCAAAACATACGTCTTCCTGCCAAAAACATAAAGATGATTACCTGATGGTGTTTTATTTATCCATTTTTTAAAGGGGATTTCACCTTTCAAAGTTTTAGAAGAGGTTCGATTGATCAAGTAGTTGGCAGTAGCTATTGCTTCTGCCCATAGCTTTTTAGGAGCATTTGCTTCGATCAAGAGACATCTGGCTTTTTCCAACAATTATCTATTTTTCCTCTCACTAATCCCATTTTGTTGTGGAGTGTATACAGTTGTCAATCTTCTTTTAATGCCATGCAATTTTAGAAAATCGTCAAACTCTTTATTTCTGTATTTTTTTTTTTATTTATTTATTTATAAATTTACAAACACAAACTTACAGGTTACATCTTTAAACATCCATATTAATATGTCTTAAAATTAAAAGAATCAAGCATCTGAAGTCCAACTAGGCGAAGCCTGTATTTCGACTATCAGCGCCAACTCCCCAATTGCACATTAAGCCTTACTATTATATATTGTATGTATGCTATACAATATAAAATCAATCCAGTCTGTGCATGTGCTTGAGTATAA